TGCGCACCATCGGCCTGATCGCCGCTTCCACTGCCTCGAACATCTGCTTCTCATCATTAAACTCTCCGCACTTGTGGGCCAACTGTTCGAACTTGGCAAAGAACTCAACCGCTGATTTGAATTCCAACTGTCGGATCTTCTTCCATTCCGCCTTCCAGATCGTGAGTTCCGCCACCTCTCGGAATTCCGTTGAGAGGTCATGGGAGAACTCGGCCCACGTGGGGAATCTCCAATGCCCCTGTTCGTCCCGATATCGGTAGTATTGGTCGCCCCACCATTCCTTCGCTTTGTCCCGCAGGTACCCCTGCGGAAAGTTATGCGGTAGGGGTTCTGCCCCTGATCGTTCATGGTGAAGTGCAGCGGGAAGACCTGGAAGTACATTTCACAATGGTGAAGGAAATGGTTAATATCCGTGGCTTCCCCCGTGAAGTACTCCGGTTGTGTGATCAGCTTGGGTTTTATGTCATTCCAGGGGTTGTTGTCCTTCCCCGACGCTAACGTCCATGGTGGTATCGGGTCCGAGGGCGAAGGTGCCCTTGGTGGTACCGGAGGGTTCAGTGGTCGCGGTAGCGACCGTAGGCGATAGTTCTCACTGGGCGGAGGGTAGTCGCCTGGGTATACTGGTCGGCACGGAGGTTGAGCCGGCGGCTGAGGCGGGATGGTGGACTGCTTCCCCTTGTCCAAGGGTCCAGCGTCTGGATCGTCCATGTCGTCGTCGTCCGGTCCTGCTCCTGCCCAGAACCCCTCTGTTTCGAGTGGGTTGGGCATCAGTTGAGGTCGACGATAGGGTTCGCAACCTCGTTGTTGATCATTGGGGTGTACCCGGTTCCACACCACGGCGGCTTTGTGCCACGTTTCTACTTCCAGGATGTTCTTCATGAGGTAAACATCCCCCATGGTTTTGGCGTATAGGTAGTCTTCTCCCGCCTCTGTGAGAAGCCACTGTGAGTCTTTCTCCATGTCTTCCATCATTATCTCATACAGTCCGTGCCACGGTAGCATGCTAAAGATTGTTGGAACTGGAGCCACGGGGTTGACCAGGACCGTTCGGACCACCGCCATTACCTCGGCCTCGAGGAAACTGTTGGGCGGCCTGCTCGGCATCCTTGGCCTTCTTCCTCTCTCGGGCGAGTCTGTCGATCTCCTGGTTTCTCTTCCACCTCCCAATGTCAGAGTCGGGGTCGTTGATCTCTGACTCGTAGGCCTGCCAGGCTCTTCAGCGGGCCTCGAGATCGGTTCCTGCCTGCTCGGCATGTCCTGTGTATCGGAGCACGGCGGCTCATTGTCTGTTCTCAATTTCAGCACGAGTGGCATCGGGCTCGACAGGGAGGTCATAGAAACCGTTTGGCCCGATGAGGGCAGCGATTTCGGCACATCGAGTGCGTAAGCCTGCCGCTCTTCCTCGGTCCATTCGGGCCTCGACTTCTGGGGACTCCCGGGCATCTCGAGGGAGGTCGAGCGACTCGACGAGCGTGTGATAGAGTAGCGTCCATGGATGCTGGAGAATAGGGACAGGGTCGGCGAATGCTCACCCCGCAACCGATGGTGTAAAGGGGATTGGGGCAAGGTCTCCGGCCCCGGCAATTGCTCCAAGTTCCTCGGGATCGTAGTCTGGGAACTCCTCCCAGAGCTGCTGATCCGTCGGTTCAACCCTGGTGATGGCGGGAGTGGGCGCTGGGGTCTCTGGGCGCTCGGGGACAGGGATGCCCCTCGGGGGTGCGATTCTGGCCACAGGAGCCTCTTCCCCGGGCTCGGCATAGACCCAACTGGTGCTGGGGTGCCAGCCGATCGGGGGTCCCCTATCTGTTGGCCAGTTAGGAAGAACGGGTCTTGCTCCATCTGAATGGGAGGTAGTCGCAGCGGAGGCTCCAAGGGTAAGCTCTCCGGAATCACTGTCGTAGTCGTCTTCTCGGGCGACCCGGTATCTCCTTCCCTCACTTCTCCAGTTGGCATCCGTCCAACGAGTTCCTGACCTTCCGCTCCAATTGTCTCCAGTATAGGTCGCATCTTCCTCCTCGTTCGGGTAGAGGTCGTCGAGTCGGGTCCTTTCCCAGTCTGAGAGCTCATCCCCTTCAAACTCGGTGTCAGGGCTTTCTTCGTCCTTGACCAGATGCCTGGTGCCTTGTCTTCGGCCTCGGTCGGTGCTTGACTCGCCTTCGACTGAAGGCTGGTCGAAGAGGCCTGGTATGGGTGAGTCTCCCCTGTCGAGGAGTATGCCCCGGGTATCTGTGATGTCGACGGAGTCGACTGACTCGGCGGTAGCACTTCTGTAGGAGTCGGTGTTCGACCCTGAGTACTGCGAGCTGGACTGCGACGATCCGTAAAGGGATCCTCCAGGTTCCCTGGAGACGTTTGATTCGACATCTTGTATCGTCTGCTGAGATGCTGCGGGGATGTGAATTACAGGAGGAGGGTAGGTGGGAGTGCTGGGAACGTAGTGGAACGGGAGTTGTGCGTGTACTCGCCTCTGTTGTCGAAAACAGCGGTGTAGTCGGTACAAAGTAATGGACAAGAAAAAGAGTATAAAAGTTGCGAAGACGGCGGGAATGGCGTCGGACCAGGGCATCTGTGAGCAGATCTATTCTTCATATAGTCCGATGATCACGACTGACCATATGGTCTGGTAGATAGTGAGAACGGTGATTACGATTAAAATAGCGATAATAAGGCTGAGGTTGGTCTCGTAGTTGGACCCGTTCATCAGCAAAATTTCGCTAGTGTCGGAGGTGCTCGTCAATGTTAACAATAAGATTGTTAATAAAGATGCGAGCCGAAAGAGTAGGGTGAAGAGGTTCGTGTTGTTAGAAATGGCGCAAAAATCCGACCCAGAATAGCAGGAGTAGTCCTGCAAATAAAGGGGCCGAGATGTATACGCAAAGGAGGAAGACTCTGAGGATGGTTACTATGATTAAACCAAGAGGGTTGTTGAGTAGGAAGCGTAGCACACAAAGTGCTAGGACGATTAGAAGTGGAATGAGAAGTATGTTGGGCAACGGTGAGTCATTGGGCAACGAAGACGAGCTTCGGCTAAATGTTAGCCACTAACTCCAATCGACTTAGATCGTACTAGGGTCACCACTCGCACTTCGGTGGTAGACACTCTAGCAAGTCAAAGACGAAGTTTGAAGTCAATGGGACAGATAGTCATGAAGAACGGAGTTTGATGTTAGGTAGATTAAACCTTAGCCGAAGCTGGGGTTTAGACCAGCTGAGGCTCTACTTAAATACACGTTGGTACACTAAAAATAGTACTGTGGGAACCAGTCCGTGATGATCGCTTGTGCGTAATCCGGCTGAGTCAAGGCGAAGAAAAGGAAAAGAAATGAATAAATCGTAACAAGCCTCCAAGAGCTCTGGATTGTGTGTAACCTATCCCCACCATCCGTGTAAGCTCTTGAATGAGGCAGCACTATACAATGTTTGAAACGACACTTGTTGACACCACTACACCCGTTGAGGATGATACTATCCACCCACACCCCGCCACAGCCCAAATGCAACCCTCCATCCCCACCCTGATGGACCCAGCACCCTCCACATTGATATCGGGGCTAATCATCATCACACACAACTTCTGCCTAGTTAAATAGTGTGGAACACATTTAGGGATTCGACATCAGCCACCATCTCGGCATGGGAGGCACTACACAATGCACAACCAATGATGAGGATGACAGCACCAAGCAGTACAACAAGGATGAGGACAGTGGCAAGGTTTTTTTTACTCTGATGCGGGGCCATGGTAGCATCTTGGGGAAGGCACATGCAGAGGGAGAACGGCTAGGGAAGAGGCAGGATGGCAGGAGAGGATGAGTGGGACAGTGAGAGAAGATCAGGACACTGATGCCAAATGATGCTGACAATATTCATTCCCTTTTGGGTGTCGAGGGAGGACTCAAGGGCACAACGAATGAGCCCAAAAGGATGCCCATACACCCATTCACCTGCCTGCCACCGCCCACCCTGCCAAAATCCAACATCGGCCTCCCATGCTCCACCCATGCACCCCAGCCACTCCAGAGTCATGCATCCCCCATTATTTGGGTGAGGGAACACGACCCTGCTATATGCCACTGCCCCCAATGCTCTCATCACCAGGTGTCGCTACCTCATTCCCATCTCCACTCTTTTCACCCTATAACTACCCCTACAGCATAGCCACCACCACCTGGACCTTACCACCCCCCTTTTTGATGTCAGGGAATTCAATGGTGAGATCATTTTCCACCTCGGACATCACCATCGCCATCAAAATGGCACTGACATCTCCCCGCCCCACTTCCCCATCCCACAGATGTCCTGTCCCATCTGACCACTTGGAAACTGTCTGTTTGGACATACAGGGATGCTATGCTGCCATCGACGACACCTGCAATGTCTGCCATTGACATCCACACCCACTGTGCCCAATGTATGGGTACCTAATTTTTTTTATTTCTGTAATATTGCACCTGAGCCCTATGTGTACCACTTAATTTCCAATGTATGTATGGTCTGGTGGTCTAGTGTTTATATCATTGTCTTTGTTACTACTTATATCTTGTGATGATGGTTCAATTCTGGGTGGATTTCAATTTTTTGTCAGAGGTGCATGATTGGTGCCACAAAAGAAAAAAGGTAATCCAAACCTGGGTCGACAGATCCAGCCAATATTAGCTGCACAACATTGGGCTGTTAGCTGATATAGATATTTATATATTTTTCCTGCCCAGTCTGGTTTTTTATACACCCATACAGTGAGCAGAGGGGCAGAAAATTGAGCTGCACCTGCTCCTGGCACTCAAAATGAGCCAGTTAGCTGAAATAGGATGTGGCAGTGTATGACCAAGCATATGCATGCTAGCCATATGTAGCCCAATAGATGCTCTTGCCAATAAGCATTGAATATGCAATCCACTCAATTGCTGATTAGCATAGCCAAAGGCCTTTCCTTGCAGCATGTGTTGATTGAAATGACTTCCTCTTGCTTGATCACCCAACCCAGCTCAGACTAATGCGAGATGTGTGCCCCCAAAAAATTCTCCGAAGTCAAAGATCAATGCATACAAATGGATCTCATCCCAATATTTGTCCAATACCAAGCCAATCACGATGCAGCAGGAGGTATTCTCCTGTGTAACAATCTTTTGAACAAGAAGCACCTGCCAAATTGTCTGCCCAAGGAGATGGTAATCTTCTTGTATAAGCGCACTACAGTGAGTCTAGATTATAATGGTGTTCTTCTGCATCTGGCATGTTGTTTTCAGTGGCTAAGAAACAGATTGTACAACCTCATCTATAGAATGAGGATTGCAGGGCTTCTTTCTCCGCCAAATTCCAGACACAACAACCTTGTTATCAAGAACAAATGAGTGCTAACTCTGGCCGATTTTTACTACATTAGGAACTGTCAAGAGCCTTGGTTCTGAAGTGCAGTTGAGGTCAAGAAGCAGTGCATCGCTGAGACTATGGTATCTGAAGTCGAGAACAATCTGTCAGATGTCATGCTGAAGAACAAGAAGATGCAGCAGAGTGGGTGAGAGCTTCAGCTTGAGAGGCAAGTGATGAAAGAGTTGCTGCAAAAGGAATCAGAGGAGGTCCAGCTCGAGTTTGAAAGGCTGTCAAACGAGGACATGAAGGAGAAGAAGACACCATTGGAGGAGGAAAGTCCAGAGGCTGTCAAAAAGTAAGTCAAGTTCTTTTGCATCAGTTTCGGAAGATGCTGAAATGTGCAATGATAGGTTGCTCAAGCAGATGAAGGTCCTCTTCAGGGAGATTATAAAGCTGCTAAAGGTGCCAGGTGGTTAGTTACCATTCAGGCTGGTGGCTTATTACCTGGAGAATTTAATCCTGAGTTGTACTTGTGAGTGGTCTTGCAGATAATTGTCGTTGTGATATTGACACAACTTAGTCTCACCATTGGAGCGAATGCAGACAACCAGTCCTGGTCCAATTTCCATGAGAATTACCAAGAGCACATGACTGAATTGTTTGCCAAGTTCCTGGCTTCAGCATTCCGTCAGTTTGATTCTTTTCATCCAAGGAGCAATTCTCACTCACAATCCAATCTCTTTCTCAGCCACAGAAAAATGCCATGCATATCAGGAAGCCATGTCCAAACTGACACTACCAACCACCAAGAAATGAGGCAAGAAGGCTGCAGTCATTGTTGACAATGATTCTTCCATAGCAGTTGATGCTGTTGGACCAAATGAGATGGAAGAACTGAATTATAAAGGAGATGAAGAGAACATGGCTCATTGTGCATCTAGTGTTCTTTCATCTTTAGCAGGTGAACTGAAAAACATCTCGGCGAAAACAGGAAATTCACAAAACCATAACAATGGTGTGCCAGATATGCTTATTTTCCTTCTCCTTGTTGACTTGTAATTAACTCAGGGGAAAAATCCTCTATTGACATTGCAAGCCCAGCCAGCACCTCGCCTACTAGCCCTTCACCAGACTTCAATATGGATGCACCACATACTGAAGATATCGACCCTGAAGTCACCACATCAGCTGTGTCTCATCCTTATTCAGATGATGTGAATGGCATGTGGGCTCTCCCAAACCCAACCCATTGATATTACAGCAAAACCAGTCCCTGAACCCATCACTGTCACTTTTGCAGCAGAATCCATTGTTGAACCCATCACTGTTGCAGCAGGACTCTGTGCCTGCATGCACCACTCCTCAGTCATCCTTCCCTCAGCTGACTCTTCATCTGTTGTCTTCACCTGTTCTGATTAATGGGGTCGTTCCTCATCCCCTATGTGTGGAGATGGGTGGAGGGGAGTTGATTAATGCTGGAACGGATGAAGCTGCCTGCAACAAAAGGGCTACCGAGGCAACAGGTGCCACAGCCCATGAGGGTGAAAGAAGTCAAGGCAATGTATGCTCTGCTGTCCCTGTTAACAGCATTGGACTGTGCCCAGGCCATAGAGTGTGAACCCCAAGTAATCAGGACAAGGGGAGGGGAAAGGTGTCAGGTGGAGATGCGATGGACAGTGCTGATGTCATTGATGATGAGGACTCCAGTACCACAACCAAAGAGAATCACTGCCCTTCTCAAGGACGTAAACCTCCTCAATCATTGTCCATGTCCAGATGGCTTGAAGAGGCTGATGCTGTTCTAAGATCATGTGATCTCAGTAAGGAGTATACGCAATGTGTTGATAAATGGTATAAGTTTGAATTGTGTGTCTCGTTTGTTGAGGTATGTCATTTTGTCATTGAAGGGAAACTGGAATTGACATCAAGTATATCTCTAGGGTAGATTTGATTCACTGAACCAACCTTTGGCACTGTCGAAATCCTTGAACAAGAAACTTTCTGCAGTACTTCCAGTTTTGTCATGCACAGATCAAAAAGCACTTATCAATGATACTATTACTTGGTGGAACACTCTACAAAACAAGTCAAGGCAATCAGCAGTCACTGGTGAACTTTCTAGAGCAGATTATACAGGCAACATGTTAAAATTGAAGAAGAAAGGCAAACAGGGTATGTTTCAGATCATGTACTTGGTTTGCTGGTGGGAAACTTTGGTTCAGGAATCAGGTTTGGATGCTGCATGCTGGAGGGCTTTCATTACTGATGTCACCTCTTGCTGTGAAGCGATGCTAGAGGGAACAAGCACCATGGAGGTGGCAGGAAAAAAGTGAGCTGCTGCGGAAGACCAGGGTTGTGTGAAGTGTGCACAAACTAAGTAAGAACATGTCCATTTTTTGTTTAGTATTGTATTGTTATCAAATAATTATTCATAGTCTGAGTTGCCTTACACTGCACCATTTCATAAGAAACTTCTAAGATGAATTATTCGATAGTGTTTGTGTTTGTGGCAGTGGTATAAGAGAATGTAATTTCTTCACTTTAAGTAATTTTACTCTTTATCGCATTTTTTGTCTGATTGCTGTGGGGAAGAGTTGAATCTGTTTTAAGTCAAGCCATGTCACTCTTAGCCTTGCCTGGTGCACTGGGTCATCTTCCAGCAAAGAATTGTTTGGTGTATCTTAAGTCTCAATAGAGCATGGAACATGGGGTGACAGAGCAACAAGTAACAGGTCTACGAGTTTTCATAGACCCACGCAGATCACAAAGTCCCAAGTCTTGAGTGAACTGAAATTTATCCTTGGTCAGAAGGAGTGTGTGTGGCAAGCAAATCTCTATGACGGGTCAATCAACAGCATATAGCTGTTCTTCAGCAACTTCGGAAGCTTGTTGAAACTGGTGTCTCTCAGCAAGAGCTGCAAAAAATCTTTGGTCACATGCAGATTGTTTACTAGGATGAATCAAGAGAAAGATCATCATATGACTACTATATACTGCTCTCTGAGCTCTGAAGACAAAGGGTATATTAGACTGACTATGACTCTAGTCATTGACTGAATATGTACAAAAATGTGAACAAACTCACCTTGATTTTCCAGGGCAAAATTCTGATACCTGAGCATGATTCTTTGCTGGCAGCCCATCTTCATCATTCCTGTCAATGCTGGAAGGACAAGGACACTTCACACTGACAGCTAAAGAGTTGGTCTTCATATTTGTGTCAGAGGCTCAAGCGCACATTACTTCCACAGCTGAAGAGTCCAACTCAACTGGTGTGGTTGTAGGGGATTCTGTTTCAGATGCCTGCCTGTCACCAGCAGCCATGACAGGGGGCTGACATGGCAGAGTATCCTGAGATTCCAGAATGAAAGGTCAGGTGAATAAGGTGATCAGGACCAGACTTACTTTTCCTACAAGGTTGGTGTCTTTCACAGATGATGCCAGCAGCTCCAGTGACTGTTTGTTGATGTTATCTACAGAATATTGAGTATCCTGTTCACTGGAGCTATGTATAGAGAGTCTGGAATATGACAAAGAAGGGGGATTGTCTTGTGATGAGGAAGGTGACAACTGCTTCATGGAAACAGGTAATTTGGTATGGACTTGAATCATGAGATGTGCGAGTTTCTGAAGAGAAAATAAGTACAACCAAGTTCAGATGAAATGAATAAAGTGACCGACACTTCCAAGCATGAACAGAGTGCAAGTCCTGGGGGTTCTCTAAGACACCAAGGCAGTGTCAGAAGTGATCGTGGTAGGCAACAAACAGGCCATGCAAATAAGCATCTAGAGTATGCTGTCCATGACTGAGGACAGCCCAGTAGGTATGGATGAATGGTTTCACCCATGTCTCTTGAAGTGTTTCATCATTCATGGTGGTAGAAGTGGGATGAACAAAACTTGAGAATTGGGATTATATAAGCAATCAGGCGGTTCAAGAGTGGTTAGCACAAATTCCAATTGGGTACTGGAAAACAGATAATGCGGTCATATTCGAGAGTATGGCATCATGAACTACTTAGAAGTAAGCACACTACATCGGAATACTAAAACAAACATGGAAAACCTTCTCTCACTTGAAGCTCACACCTTCAAACCAGCTCACCCATCATATAGTAGATACTGGTTCAATATTGAAGAGTCATTTTTGCCATGGTACATTGTAGCTGGAGGTCGGCACAGAGTGAATAAGCCCAAGTGGGAGATGGAAGACATAAAAAAAAATCATGTACCTCATGAAAGACTGGGAATCTGGACAACATACTATGTTGCCACATGCTGCAAAACCACGAAGAAAATTCTGGCTCATGAGGAGGGAAGATTAGGATTATAAACAGCCATGAAATGAAGGAACTAATGTTGGGGTTAGGTGCATAGAATGAACAGAAGGGAAGATACTCACCCCTCTGAGCATGTGGGAATGGAAAGTAGCAGAGGAAATGTCAACATCTGTTAACAACCAACTAAAATCAACTCAGATCGAACTAGGATCACCACTCGCACTTCGGTGATACAATACACTAGTCAGTCTAAGTTGAAAAGGATAGCCAGTCGCAAACTTAGATAGTCGTGTAACAAGGAGTACGGGATGGGTAGATTAAACCTTAGCCGTAGCTGGGGTTTAGGCCAGCAAAGGCTACTACTTAAATACATTGTGGATATGATATAAATAGTACTGTGAGAACTGTCCAATAGGGATCGCATGTTTGAGTAAGCAAGAATGAGTAAAGGGAAGAAAAGAAAATGAATAAACTGTAACATTACCCCCTCCTTAAGACTCGTTCATCCCAAATGAGTTCTCAGATCCCCACTCCCCGTTGTCAGATGATGATCATCTGGATTCTGAGTAGAAGGATGGTATGTCATCATCTTTGTCCGAGTCCCAGTTTTCATGAATTCGTTGAAGATTTGCAAGGTTTACCTCTTCTTCTGTCTCATCAGGTGCAACAGATGATGCCCGAGAAGAGGGATAAGAATCTTGTTGGGTGTTTTTGTCATATGACAGTCCGTCATCAGCTCATTCGATTTTTTGTTTTACCCATTGGATCTTGGCCTCATATTCATTGACAAGCTCCTCCACGTTGGCCATGTTGGAGCGTTTTACCCAGGAATTCTCTTCTATTGGATAACCCTTCCACTTTACCAGATATTCAGTTATTGTGCAATGGTTTCGACCACGTCCGATAACTTTATTGCGTTGCTCCACAATTTCCTCGATTTCATACTCTTCTTTGTCTTCAATTAACTTGGGCGGTGGCCTTTCTGGGTGAGGTTGATTAGGAAAGACTGGAGGGACGTATTGCATAAGGAGGGATTCATTGAACCGATTATGAATTTTCCACCCCACTGGTAGTTTGAGTTCATATGCAGAAGCCCCCTTTTTGATGATGATGGTGAAAGGTCCTACATGTCGATCTCCGAGTTTCTTGGTAGGTTGCGGGAGATGAAGGTTTGTGGCATCAAGCCATACCTTGTCTCCAGGCTGATACTCGATGGCCAGCTCCTTATGTTTATCATACGCCCTTTTCATCAATTCTGCTGCCTTTTCTAAAGACGCTCTTGCCGCCTCCTGCATTTCCTGGATTCCTTTCACTAGTTTCGAGGCTGTGGGTACTGTTCCGGGAATATCTGTGGGAGTGATTGTTTGTCCATCCCTTCCGAAGATTACTTTATATGGGGAGTATCCGGTTGTGGAATGCTCTCAGTTATTGTGGGTGAACACGGCCAGCGGTAGCCATTCACTCCAGTCATCTTGTCGATATCCGACGAACATCTTCAAGTATTTTTCAATTTCCTGGTTGACCCTCTCCATCTGTCCATCCGTCTGTGGGTGATATGCAGTGGATGGATTTCCCTGGACGTGGATGAGGGTATAAAACTCTTTCATGAATTTTGAGACAAATACTGATCCGCGATCTGAGATGACCTTTTCTGGCATTACACCATAAGGCATGTATACATAGTTCCATAGTATTTTGGTAAAGCCTAAGGAGGTGAGTTCTTCGGTGCAGGCAATTGGAATGACAGTTTTGGAGAATTGATCCATGATGACCAGGATGGAGTTGTAACCCTTGGACTCTGGGAGTTTGGTGATCATGTCCACAGAGACATGGGTCCATGGTTGAACGGGTACTTCATTTGGATAAAGGGGAGCTTTCTTGGGTCGATGGTCAGCTTTGGTTCACTGACAAGTCTTGCACCCTTTTACATATGCTTCTACATCTCAGCACATTCGTGGCCACCAATAATCTCATAGGATAAGTTCTTTGGTTTTTTCTATACTGGGGTGTCCCGCCGTGGTGTGATCATGTCAAAGAGCTATGATTTCTCCTCGTAGTCGCCGATCCAAAGGAATATAAATACATCTGTCATACCATAGTAGGTCCTCTGCATGAGTGACTCCCTTCTTGTGATTTAGAGAGTCGGAGATTCCATGATCCCACTTATGTGGGTTGTGAGTAGCTGTCTTGATTCTCTCATGGAGTTCCTCCACGGTAGGCATTATTAGTGCTCTAAAGTGTTCTGCTTTGAGCACTATCACGTCTTTATTATCCTCCTTTCCCTAATCATGATCTGCTCGCCTAGATAAGAGGTCCGCTTTACGATTTTGGGCTCCGGGTTTGTGGTGAAGCGTGAATTGATATTCTGCTAACTTGGTCACCCAGTGGGCTTGTCGTCGATTCAACTTTTGGGGTTTACGGAAGTACTGGAGATTGGAGTGATCGGTCCAGATTTCGAAGTCTTCTCGTGCCCCCATTAGATAGTGGTGCCACTCCTCCAGGGCGATCATGATGGCTAGGAGTTCCTTGTTATAGATTTCATAATTCCACTCAGTGGTTGTCAAGGATTTAGACAGGAAGGCCACCAGATGCTATTTATCATCTTGTTGTTGTGATAACACCGCCCCTACTGCTCCTTCGCTGGAATCTGCCTCCACTCTAAATTTCCCATGATCGAGAGGGATGGCCAGGACTACATCCTCCTTAAATAGCCCTTTGAGCTTTTCGAAGGCATCCTGTTGTGCCTTTCTCCATTTCCACTCCACCTTCCCAGTTAAAGAGGTTAATGGTCTGACGTGCTTGCTGTAGTTGTGGATGAAACATTGGTAAAAGTTACAGAACCCCAAGAAAGATTGTAATTCTTGCTTCTTTTGGGGTACCGGCCAGTCTAGCAGTCTGGCCACCTTCACCGGGTCCATTCAAATCTTTCCTTCATTGATAATCACCCCCAAGTACTCGGTCTCTTCCACTTCGAATTCGCACTTCTCAGCCTTCAGGAATAGGTGGTTCTCTCAAAGTATTTGTAACACCTTTTGTACAATTCATTTGTGTTC